TAATGACTAAATAAACTACAGCTATTGAAATATCTTTTTCTTCATTCTCTGTGATATGATTGCATCCGCCTTGTTACTTCCAGCAATCAACAAATGTATCTGTTGTGTTCGATTCTAGCTAATAATCACTGCTAAATCTGAATCTATGCATGCTTCACTGAAGAGCTCATTAAGGAGGCATAAAACCGACCTTTTAAAGCCTCAGAATGAGAAATGCGACATACAAAAGAGAGAGAGAGAGAGAGAGTGAGAGAGAGAGAACTAATAGAACATTTCTCCTCAGATTCTCCTCAGTCACCCTCACACTAACACACATACACACAGCCTACTAATTCACACACACTTACATATATTCTCATATAAATGCACATATTTTAAATACGCAATACTGACAGCGTGTATGAGTGAGTATAGATACAGTATAATATTATTACCTACACTATAGAGCACCAATAGTGTATTTAGCACCAAACAGATGTGTGTTTGGTAGAAAACCTCCAAACCACACAGTCCTGCCAGTACACACCAGCAAAAGAGCCATACAGATTCTGAAAGCCCTGGAGAGAAATTGAAATGTACACAAGCATTCATTATTTCATTCATCTTCAATATGAGCGCTTTATCCTGGTCAGGGTCACGGTGGATCCAGAGCCTCTCCTGGGAATGCAAGGTGGGAATACACCTTGGATGGGATACCAGTTCATCACATGGCACCTTGCACACACACACACATTCACACCAATTTAGATTTGGAGGTGGGAAGAAACAGGGAACTTGGAGGAAACCCCAAAAGGAGACAGGGAGAACAGGTGAAACCTTGCACTGGTAGTAACCTGAGCTCTGGATTGACACATATGAGTGAAAAAGCAGTCATTTACATGATCACAGGCATATGAGAGAGCAAGAGGAGAGGCAAATTACAAAATGACAAACATTATTTAGGCAGGAGCTGAGATGTGTGTGTGTGTGTGTGTGTGTGTTCATCAAAACACTTCCATAAAGCAGTCAGAGAGCACTAATCCTAATCAGTTTAATAGAAGATGTGTGAGAAGCTGGTGTGAATTTAAAATAGGAAGATCCGCTGGTGAAAGAGAGAGAGAGAGAGAGAGAGAGAGAGAGAGAGAGAGAGACAGACAGACAGACAGAGAAGTTAGGGAAAGACATAGGAAGACTTGGACAGAGAGTGAGAAATTTAGAGATGGATAGTTGAAGGAAAGATTTAGCTAAAGGTAAAAATCCACCCTGAATCCACCTTTATAATTAACATGTGATCTTCAGTGGCATACTTAAGTTTTATTTTGTAATGAAATTCAGGTTGACTTTTTTCTTAATTTTCTTTAATCGTCTATTTTCACTTTAGTTAACGCATTCCTACATTACCCACAATGCAATTCGACTACCTGATGATAGCGGTGCCAATAGAATTAGCCCTTGTTTCATCTCTTTATAAAAAGAGCGATGCAGCGGCGCTTTAGTCCTTTAGTCTGTCCACCTGTAATTCAGTGCGACTGTGTCGTATAGCAGCATTGCATTCTGGGACTTCGAGTCTGACGTTTGCTGTCTCTACTATTTCTACATTAGATTTCTCATTAATATGACATTGAACATCACTGGAATATAGCGAGTGAGAAAATAAGCTATTGAATATTCTTGAAAATGTCCCTGTACGTTTATTGTGTATTTTTAAACACTAAATATTAGAAATGAGTTATATTCATTACCATTTTTCTGAAAGACAGACAGTTCCTGTGTATGCCTTTATAAGAATACAGAGAAGAGTGATCACATTTATTATTTTTTTTAATTGAATAAAATTTTCTACAATGGCAAAAATATATATTTCTATACATGTGCCACTTTAATACCTCATTACTGTTTTTTTTTTTTTACAATTCATTACTGAAAATTGCACCATAAACCTGCTTTATGATCATGGTCTAATGCTAATAACTGTCTTTTATATTCTTATATTTAATATTATTTTTCTTATTTTTTATTTTTATATTTCATATATTTATTTTTTATTTTTCATAATTTTTATATTTTGTTTTCTTATTTTTATATTTTATTTTCTATGTATTTTTTTTTTTGTTTTTATGGCATTTTTTACATTTTAATTTCACTTAGCAGTGACACTAAATGGCTCAGTACTAAAATCTAGAGTAGGTCTGGAGCGTCATAGACCACATTTTTGGGATTATCGATCATCAAAAATGCGAATGAAACCATTTGTAATGATAGCTACATCGTTTTCTCTTTCTTGCTCCGTACTAAATGAGTGCAAGTCAACTTCTTCAGCACAATTATGACCTCTAATCTCAGACATCCTGGATTAAATTCCATTCTATGTTGTTACGAGGGGTTTATCATGTCAACGTCAAAATGCTGATCGATTATGAAGCATTAAATATTCATATAGGGCAAAATATACATTTCCACCTGCAGTAAATGTGGCTTCATCTATCAGTTATCACTATGAGGCAAAGGAGCAAAGTGAGAGCAGGATGTTACTGTAATTAGACTCTGATTGAAATGATGCTATCACTCAAAGAGGGATTTACGTGTCTGTGTGTGTGTGTGTGTGTACGTGTGTGTGAAATGTAATTATTTTCTTCACAGGAAGCAGTCTTCCCAATCCCGATTATTATTTTTAATATTACTACTGTTATATAAAACCTGTTTAATATTTATCAGAGCAACTCCACTGGTCAGAAATGAAAACAAGGTTCAATACCACACCACATCCCTCCACTGCTCCTTCATCTTCTGCATTTCTATCACTCCATCTTTCATTATCCCACTCGTTATTCTCCTCGCCATTCCTCTTTTTATCGAGAATAGAGAAGGTTTTCTATGAAGAAAAAAAGATTTAACATTTTAATGCACCTTAAAATTAAAACATATCCAGAAAATGGTCCCTTTCTACAATTTTCTTTTTCTTTCCCTTGACCTTTCATTACCTTTATGTCCTTGTTTTGCTTTCATTTTTTCTCCCCTTTTTATACAAAGGAAATGAAAAAAATACTAGGAAAGAGGCCATCAGGAAAAAGAGGGAAGATGAGAAAAAAGCCCTCGAGAGACATGATTGGAAAATGGAAGCACTTAGAGAGAGAGAGAGAGAGAGAGAGAGAGAGCACAAACAGGCAAATAGACAGAAACAGAAATACAGTGTGCAAGTAGGAAGTAAGAGAGACAGGAAGAATAAAAAAACTGATGGGAAAAGGCAATGGAGAGGGAGTAACAGAACAAGAAAACAGAATGTAAGTCATTGTATGACAGAAAGACCAAGAAATAGAAATAGAGAGAAAATGAGTGAAAATAAGTAAAAATAAATGAATGAAAATAAGTAAGAGTGCATGAGAGAGTGTGAGCGAGAGAAAGAGAGAGAGGGAGAAAGAGTGAGAGGGGATCGCATGATGTCCTTGCTGCTACTTAACGATCTGAGAGAGTGTTTTGTTGGAGCTCAGAGTTACTCGTCTTCAAGGCTCTTCACTGAGCGTGCGTAGAAAAATCTAATGAAGATGGAGTTGAGAGGTGGAACAAAAATGTTTCGGAGTCGGGTGACAAAAAAAAAAAAACAAGTGGAAACACACCACCAAGTCTTTTTTTTTTTTTTTTTTGCACTAGTATGTCAAAATTTTCCTAGCTCATTATCCAGATCTCCCTTAACTGAACAACAAGGGCAATTCTGTATTAATTAATAGACTAACGACTATAAAAACAAACTGAGAGATGGCACTGATCCGATACCCAGGAACGGTATCGGACTGATACCAGTAAAAACCGACCCTGTAACAAATGGAAAAGACTGGAATTGGATTTGAAAAAGTTTTTTTTTTTTTTTTTTTTGAACTGAAAATGTCTACATATAAAGAAACTTGATTTTTTTTTCTTTTGGTTAGGATTGATTTTTATTATACTTGCACTTTATTCTTTATTAGATTTATTATACTGCATTTGCAATGCAATGCAATAGATTTGTGTGAAAGTTAGGGGTCTATGTAAGTCATGTTTTTAGCTATGCATTTTTTCCTGTATTTTTTAAGTGCTTCATTTAAAAAATAATCATTTTAAAGCTTAGTAATTTTTAAAGAAAGAAATATCATGGGGTATCCATATCAGGTGATACTCAATATTTTAGTATGAGTATTGGTATCAAAAAAGAAACGTGTCATCATGCCATCTTGACAAACTGATGAACCTGTGATTTAACCCCCTAAACTTACTGTATTATTCAGTTAATGATCTTATAGCATATTATTTGGCATGCTGTTAAAAAAATAAGAAAGCTAGCACCCAAAGAGATTATTTGGTTTGTTCTTCCGAGAGAAACGTTAAAATTCAAATTGGCACTGCACGTCATTTGTCAAACTGGATACAAATGAATTTTATTCATTGATCGCTCACAGGAATATTTACACATTACAAGAAATGTGGTATTCATGAAAATCCATTTAGTTCTGAAAAGCACCTGTATCCTATGAGAGCTCCTGAGTAAATTTACTTATAAGCAGACTCACTATTGTCAACCTCGATTGGTTGGTTTCAAATAGTGTTGAGTGTTGGTGATGAGTTACTGCAAATTTATATACAGATTACACTGTCAAGTTTATATAGCTAATTTATTTCATGCACAATTTTGGTAAAAATGAGGAAAATTCTATTAGGAAAAAATGGCACCCTATACAATGAGGGAAAAAAAGCAATTCAACTAGGAAAAAAAATGGCACCCTATAAAATGAGGAAGAGTGAGTTTGTCACTATGGTAGTCGTCACGCTGCAGTGGCTAAGCTGGCATTACTGGAAGATTTAGCAGTGTGCGTAGGAAAAGCTGTGCTTGGAACATGTGGAGTTTTCTGGACGTCATTAAATTGACCACATTTGGTAATTTATCCATAAGTTATCATCATTCATGATCATGCACATAAGTGTGAAGAAAATCAATGCTACCAAAACTTGGCTGGCTGGATCTTTTAGTTGAGTTTGGCCTATGAAAAGGTTCCCTGGTGGACTAGTGGCTAGCATGCGGTGCTCTCATTGTGCGGTCAGGGTTCGAATCCCGGTCAGGGAACCAGCCACTGGAGGGTTGCATGAGCCAGTGCACTCTCAGTGCTGGTTCCAAGCCTGGAAATGGGGAGAGTTGCGTCAGGAACGGCATCTGGTGTAAAACTTGTGCCAGAATCAAAAATACGCAGGCTGTGGTGACCCTGAATTGGAGCAGCCGAAAGAAGAAAAAAAAGTTTGGCCTATCAGAACATTTACACACAACTTGCTTTGTCACAGAGGAGCTTTACAGAAATCTAGGTGTAGATTTAGATCGCTAATAAGCAATAAAATAATAATAAGCAAACCAGAGGTGATAGGACATGAAGAAATCTTGACAGGAACCGGACCCAAAATGGAAGCATCCTCTTCTGGGTGGCATTGGACGGTGAGAATATGTAGCATTACAGTATACAGATGTAGAAGAGTAAACAAACAGCACTGGGTGTGTTGAAAGGATGTTCAGTATGAGCATATTGTGAATAAGAATCCTGCGATGAGCACAGGACAGTCTTTATCAGAATCAGAATCAGAATCAGAATGAGCTTTATTGCCAGGTATGTTTACACATACAAGGAATTTGTTTTAGTGACAGAAGCTCCACAGTGCAACAGAATGATAGAGACAAGACAAGACACAGAAAATAAAAAGAATAATATACAAATATACAAATAGACAATGTACAAATAGCAAAAACACAATATACAAAATAGACAATTTGTATGTACAGATTATGTGCAATTTTGTATGTACAGGTATGTTATGTGCAAATTTGAAAAGTAAATAACTATGTGTATTAAGTAAATAAATGTATGAGTGTTTATGATTACAGCAGCAGCTCTTAGGTACAAGTCTACAGTATCCAGGTGATTATCCACTAAAGAAAGGTTGAGATTTGGAAACACAACAGCAGAAAGTGAGTCAGACGTGCAGATGTTGCAAGCAGAATTAGAGCATCAGAATGAATCAAGCAGCTCTGAAGATCAAAAAAGCCACAGCAGTAGAATTCGACAGTTGGGCTTCACGATTAATCATATTTTTAACATTAGTGTGATAGGATTTTCTGAGATACACTCACAGTGAAGGGTTAGATTAAGAGTATAGATCTGTTTACCCAGGCACAGCACCCGAATAACACTCTCAGTCTTGTGTGTGCATGAGCGCAGATGACATCATTACATTAGGACCACCAAGCGTAGACATGGACATGTGAACAGACAAAAACACGGTCCTTTATGTTCCTGCATTATCATCCCTATTGCGTTTAATCAATAAGCGCGGACTGTTTTTACTCGCATAAGTGGAGACTGATGGAGTCGTGTTTGAAGAATATATTGATTAGATGCATTCTGGGAAATGTGATCTTTTATAAAAGCCATTACATTTTCCATATTAAGTGTGTTACTACAGGCATTCATTTCCCCATAAATAAGTGTGGTGCACAAACACACACACACACACACACACACACACACACACCCTTCATTCTTCCTTTCTGCAATGCAAACAGACATCTGATTCATGCACAGACATGCTCGCTATAAGAGCTGATAAATAAAACATTACTTGCGCTGAAATGATAACTGCAAAATGACTTTTAACACACTACAATCAAAGTGATGATGTAATAATGTCATGTAGCAGAGGGACAGGAATTTGGCTAATAGTTGCATAGCTTTATGGTGTATTTTCGTTCACCTGAGTCCTGGCTAAGGAAAACTTTCTCATGACACATGTACAGTATGTGCATCCCATAGCATTCCTCAGAATATTGTAAATGAATATTACTCATTAATTATAAATGTTAGACCAGCTCTATCTGATTTCCATAGTCTAAAGAACGTAGGAGGGGTCACGTCCTTAGGGCTAATTTGCTAATTGACTTGCAAATGGCTCATAAGGGATCAGTTAAAGTTAAGTGGATGTCAAAAGGTCAGAGTTTCTGTTTAGTGCTTGAAATCAAAGCTCTTTTCTGTCGAGATTAATATTTTGAAGACGACTCCCCAGTATGGGAATTAAATAGTTCCAGAGTATGTGTGCGTGCTTTTTGCTTTTCAAATTCACTGAAAGAAGAGAATTTTTTTTGTAAAATCCTCAACGTACATCTGACACGTCGGTTCTGTGTTCAACTAATCTATAATAACTGAAGGAAGTTGAAAATGAATGTTGTTGAAAATGTTCACTGTGGAGCTGTTCATTATAAGGTCTATATAAAATGCTAGCCATTAATTTGTTATCTTATGACTGATTATTTTGTTATTTAAATATTCTGCTAAATACTATACTGAATATTCATAAGGATAAGAAAAGCACAAGACTTAAAGCATTTGAATAATTTATTAAAAGAAAACCAGCTGTAGAATACAAATCATATGAATCATATTGTTCTTCACCTGTACCCCATTACATCCAAATAAGTTATTAATAATAATAATAATAATAATAATAATAATAATAATAATAATAATAATTTATACAAATAATAAACTAGTTTACATCAAACTACATATTTTCTTTCCTGTCTCTGTTCTCATCTTTCTTTGAAGACTAATATCTGTCTACTGACATCGTGATTAATGATCCAGACCAATAAAACACAATAAAATTATAGATGATTATCAAATTACACATGTTTTTAATTCACACATTTTGTTTAACTGAGAATAGTTGTTACCATTATGAGGTGACTGACTTGCATGTTAATGGTAGTTTTGTGATATGAATGATGAATGATGAAAGAAATAATATAGGGATAAATGATAAACGAGATTCATATTTGTAGTAGAGCGTGTGTAAAACTCCAATGCTTTATTTACTACTGGTCATTTATTTGCATTCAGCTCCAGTCAGTGCTAACTAGTGGACCAGAGCAGTATAGGAAACATTTAAGTTGCACCTGCCGATAAGACTAAGCTTGTGACATATGGTCAGGGCAGGGGATGTAAGGTTTACCCAGTGTGTTTATTACTATTGCTACTAAGAAGAAGAAGAAGAAGGAGTGGAATTCTATATAGTGTCATTGGAAAATCCAGCTGCTGCTATCGTCCAAGCCTTTTAAGCGGTACAAAATACAAAATACCATGATGGAAGGTCTTCTTCCACACTGTGAGGAAGACAACAACATTCAGCCAAATGCTTGTGGCTGCAACTCAGTATACAAAGAGTGGCAAAAGGGCTCAAGAAACCATCCTATGCGTGCCTTAAGACAAGCACATGGCCACCATCATACTTTTTTAGTTTTATTTATGTTCAAATAATAATAATAATAATAATAATAATAATAATAATATGCTTAATTTATACAGTGCCTTTCTCACACCTTTCACTTTACAATTAAAGTGAAAAAACCACCAAACACAGAAAAAACAGAAACACAGAGACCTGTCTATCCTTGATAAGTAGGTTTAAGATAACAGGGGCTATCTGTAGCGTTGCTGTTACCATGGTTACCACACATAGAGACACAAGCGATTTTTCACCTGCTGTATCAAAATCTGTGCTAAGCAGGAATTTCAACCTTTTATGCACAAAGCAGAGGGAAACAGGTGGCTAAAGCCCTTAAACCTGCAGACATGTTTTCAGGCATTTAAGTCTTTCAACTTAATAGCTATCACTCCAGATGGAGACTATCAGCGATTCCTGATACCATCATCAATCATCTCAAGCCTAGATAACACTCTAAAACTTAGCTTGAAAATAGCAATTGCTGTGTAATTTGTGAGGACATAAAATTATGATTTTTACATTTTTGCAATAAATTATCTGAATTATCAGAATGATCAATTTTATTGATTATTTAAAAATGTAAGCTATAAAGTTGCTTTGTCAATCAAAATAGGCATTGCAGCTAGCTTCTCGATGGGTGCAAGCAGTTAAATTGTGTTTCATTATTTTTTTAAAAAAGAAGATAAAAAATAGGTCTGTATCTTATTTTCTGTTAAGATATGAATTCATGGTGTCTAATGAGCACAAAACACTGGGAACATAAATGAAGCCAACTGTGCCATACTTTCATCTTTAAAAAAAAAAAAAGCAGTGTGCAAACCATTCAAGAAGCCATTTAAGTTTCTGCCTAAGTTTACTCTTTATTTATTTATTTGTTTGTCTAAAGTTAAAGATTTTAAAGATTGTTATATCCCATGTAACCTAAGTAATGTAAAATCTACCAACAGTCTACCTAAGTACCAAAAGCAAGAAATTATTAAGAATGAAGTTGGGTTTTGCTGTTTAGTGATAGTCTGGTGCAGGATTAGCTTGAATTTTTCTTTAATTTCACCAAAATAAACATTTCCAATTTTCTTTCGGTTCTTGCCAGTGACATGATGCGTGAAAACATCTACCAAAACTCACAATGTTTGAATCTGGGTTTAAAATTCTCACAGTATCAATATACTGTAGCCTACTGCAATATACACTCACTGAACACTTTATTAAGAACATGTATACACACTAGCTAATCAGTCAATCATGTGGCAGCAGTGAAATGCATAAAATCATGCAGATACAGGCCAGCAGCTTCAGCTAATGTTCACATCAACCATCAGAATGGGGAAAAAATGTGATCTCAGTGATTTTTACCGTGGCATGATTGCTGGTGCCAGACGGGCTGGTTTGCGTATTTCTATAACCACCGATCTGCTGGGATTTTCACGCACAACAGTCTCTAGAATTTACTCAAAATGGTACAATAAAGAAAAAACATCCAGCGAGCAGCAGTTCTGTGGACAGAAATGCCTTGTTGGTGAGAGAGGTCAAAGGAAAAGACTGGTTCAGTAATTCAGATAACCACTCTGTACAATTGTGGTGAGCAGAAAAGCATCTCAAAATGCAGAACACATCAAACCTTGAGGGGGATGGGCTACAACAGCAGAAGACCACATCAGGTTCTAGTTCTGTCAGCAAAGAACAGAAAGCTGAGGCTGCAGTGGGCACAGGTTTACCAAAACTGGACAGTTGAAGACTGGAAAAACGTAGCCTGGTCTGATTAATCTCGATTTCTGCTGAGCCACGCAGATGGTAGGGTTAGAA